GTGTTGAGGAGTTTGAGCGCAGCTTGTCTGACCAGTCGCAAGCCTATATCATGACTCTGCGTCCCCCTGGGGCCTCGCCCACCACTCGGGGGGGCGTATGGCTGAGTAGTTTCACCGCTGGTGTAACAACAAGCTGCCCTTCCTTGTGATCGCGGCCCTGGCTCACGGGCGCGCCTGCCAGTGCTCCTCCCTCCTGCCTCCTCCGTTTCCTCATGCAACTTCTTCCTACCTGCTTCCTCCTCCCCCTCCTCCTCCTCCTGTTCCTCCTCCTCCTCCTCCTTCTTTTCCTCCTCCTCTCCTCCTCCTCCTCCTCCCTCCTCCTCCTCCTCCTCCTCCTCCCTCCTCCTCCTTTTCCTCCTCCTCCTCCTCCTCCTCCTCCTCCTCCTCTCCCTCATCCTCATCCTCCTCCTCCTCCTCCTCCTCCTCCTCCTCCTCCTCCTCCTCCTCCTCTTCCGCCCACCTGCCTCCCACCTGCCTCCCACCAGCCTCCTGGTGCCGCTGCTCCACCTCCCTCCTCACCGCCCTCGCCCTGCTCCCGCTCCTCGTCCTCCTGCGCCTCATGCCCGGTGCTGCTGTTCCCCCCAGCCCCGCTCGTTTCCCTCCCCCCATCGGATCCGCCCGGTGGCCCAGCTGGCGTCGGGCGACGCAGTCGACGATGTCGCTGCGCCACCGCGCCGTGGCGGGGGGGGGGGCAGAGCAGGGCGGGCGACCGTGCGCGGCGCGCGCGTTCCCAGGCGTGGCACAATTTTTCTCTTGCAGAAAGGAGCATCTGCGCGGCGTGTAACTTCCCACGCGCGGCACACATTTGGCCGTGCGCGGCGTTTTGCTGCCCGTGTGTGGCACTGCCCGGAGGTGGCGCAATTTGTCCGTGCCTGGCACGAACTGCCCGTGCGTGGCGCGGCTTGCTCGTGCGCGGCCTGTATTTGCCCGTCTTTGCGCGTCATTGTGCGCCTTACGAGATGAGTTCCAGAGCGCGGTCCGCCGTCGGCCCGATTGCCGTGGTGTCCGCGCGCAGCGCAACGGGGCAGCGAGGGGAGATCGGAGTTGCGCCCGCGCGGATTCGATGGCCGCTGCACATATGCCTCGTACGCCTGACCGAATCCGAGGCTCCTCGCGAGAAAGAGTTTGACACTGATTTGGCCGAGGCGCTAGACCAGGATGGTGTAACTCATTGGGCCCACCAGCTCGACGCGGAGCCAGGCTCGCTGAAGAGACTTGACTCTGCCGACGCGCGTGCGCCGCCAGCCCGCCGGCGCGGCCTGGCAGGCATGATGCGTCAAGGCACTCGCCCGCGCAGCCCGCGAGCAGAATGGCCCATGCTTGGGGCAACTCGCACCAGCAGCGGGGAGTTCATCCCCTTCCGAAGAAGCGCAGCGGTCAATTTGCGCACCGACTGCCAAGCGCGTAGCGATTGGTCCCCACCAGGTGGGGGCTTCGGCGCGGTTGCCACGCCGCGCGAAGAATGTCGTCGGCGGCTGCGACAGGCGTCCTTCCGTGCCCTGCCGCTCGCCTTCTGGCTATCATTAGCTGCGATGTTGCCGCGGATGGCATCGTGGTTCCCGCGCGCTGCGCGCATGTACCCGCGCGTGACACGACGTTGCTCGTGCGCGGTGCACTCAGTGTTGTTGGTGCGCGGCACGCTGCCCTATGCTCTGTGGCGCATTGCCCGAGCGTGGCGCATTGCCCGCGCGTGGCACGTTGCCCTTGTGGCACGCTGCCCTTGCGCGGCGCAACATCGCCCATGCGCGGCGCAGTGCCCGCGTGCGGAACGTTGTTCTTGAGTGACGAACTTTGCCCACGTGTGGCGCAATCCCTGGGCGTGACGCGTTGCCCTTGCGTGGCACATCATCGCCCATGTGCGTCGCATTGCCCGCGTGTGGCACGTTGCCCCTGCGCGGCACAATGTCGCCCGCGCGGCGCGTTGCCCGCGTTTGGCAGGTTGCCCTTGCGCGGCGTAACGTCGCCCACGCGCGGCGCGTTGCCCTGGCGCGGTACGCTGCCCACGTGTAGCCCGAAAAGCGCGCGGCTTTCGCAGGCTCCTGAGTGGCTTTTCCTTCACGCGCGCGCGCAGTGCGTCGCCCGAGCGCGGCAAATTCAGGCGCGAAGAACGCGCGCAGCAACGCGCCCTCCCGCCGCCATCCGGTATCAGCTCGTGCCAGGCGGAGCGCCCGCGCTGGCGGTCTGGCGGCGCACTGCGCAGTGGGCCTGCGCCTACGCGCACGTGGCGCGCGCGGCTGGCCCCCCCGCCCAGTGCCGAGCGCCCTGTGACAGCGGGCGTTCGCATTGATTGGGCTCCTGGTTGCGCCGGCCTCGCAGGCCCGTTGGGGGCACTGCTGCGCGCGGCCAGGGTCGAGCGCGGCACCCATCGTCGCGGCGCGACGCGCCGAACCGATGCGCGACCGCGCCAAGGTGGCGCGGTGGGCGATCATCGGGCAACGATAATCGCGGGCACGACACGGCGGGGCGGGCGCCCCCAACCCAGCCCCCATGCATGGACGATTGGGGGGGCGGCGCGCGGCGGCGCGGGGCGACGCGCGCCCAGCATGCGACGGGCGCGAGGTGTCGCGCAGGCCTCCCAGCTTGCATCGGCGAGCGCGAAGCGAAGGGGGGGGGGGGGGGGCGCAACGACTTGCATGGGCCGCGGGCAGCTTTGCACGGGCCGAGCCTCCCAGCCGCGCTGCTGGCGAGACTCAGGACCCCCTCCTGTGTTTCGGCCCGCAGCAGCGAGGGGGCGAAGGGAGAGGGAGGGGGGAAACGATGACCCGACTGATTGCGGCTGCGTCTCTGCGTGATGCTCACCAGGGCCACGGTGATTGAGAATTTGCTGAAGATACGTGCTCGCAGGCTAGATGTTATTTCCCATACGCTGCCCGCAGACTTGGCGTCACGCAGAGGGAATGTGGAGGCTGTTATGAGAGCGCGCCCGCCGCAAGGGAGTGTTGGCAGGCCCGCGCATGGCGGCCACCTGGCGCGGAATCGAACTCACCAGGCACTGCCCGTCGGCACCACCGCACGCCAGGCACGCGCAGTTGCGCAGGAACCCCGACTTGATGGCGGCCACGGGGTGAGCGTCAGAGGAGGGCGAGTTTCGACAACGGTAGAGGGCCTTCAGGGGGCGCCCTCGTCGCCACGGCGGGACGCAGCTCGGAAAAGACGTGCGACTGGGCCCTGGAAAGAGCTTCGGGGGGGCGATTTTGAGCTGCCGTTGTCTCAATTCGCCCTTTGCCGACACGCGGCGGTCATGGGGCGGGGGGGCGAGTGAGCCAGGCACGCCTGAGGCAGGTCTCCCAACCACGGTGCCGAGGAGAGGGAGGCCAGCAAACCCCGGCCTTGTCGAGATGCCCCAGATTCGACGACCCAGGAAGGCAACACCACTTTAGCGGCAAAGCCAGGACAAGGGGAGATGAATCCGTTGCGGACCAGGACGACCATTGAGCCGTGGATTTTGGATATGTTTCTGGGCTGGCCTAGTTGTTACACCGATGTTTATTCGCAGCAAGATCGTGTCGTCGGCACGAAGTCTGTGAAAACGTGTGTCCCGATCGTGTGTCGAGGTGCCCAAGCCGAGAGCCGTGGAGTCCCGAGTTCGTGGCTGGCCACGGCGAAAAAGTAAAGTAGACCCACAGAAACTGAAACACGATCAAAACCATGTGCCACATTTGGCATTAAGGCGGAAAGAGAGAGAGAGAGAGAGAGAACGGTCAAAGGGCGCAGCCACACACATGCACACATGCACACATGCACGCATGCACACATGCATAAACACACACTGAGTTATTCACAAACGGGCGTCGCGGAAGCTGCGTCCGACCAGGATCATTGGCGCAGCAACACGCACGCAAATCTGGGACAGGGCAAAATCGGCCCGCCTCCCCACGACGAGGTACTGGCTGAAGTCCGGGCAGCGGGGGCGAAAAGGTGGACGCCTGGTGCGGGGGACGGGCTCGTATGGTCGTGCCGCAGTGCCGCGAATACACCCCGGCGCCTGGGGTCGTACCACAAGTGAGCGCGTGCGGTACAACGTTGTGGCGGACACTATCAGGCGGTACCCTGCGCATCCACCAGCGGGCAACCCTGGCCGGGTGCCGCCTGCCGTTCGGCGAGGAGACGGCGCGCACGATGCCAGCTTGAGCTTGGCGGTGAGGCCGCGCACGCGCTCGGGACCAGCGGCGGAGGGCGCAGTTCAACACCAAGAAGAGAATCGTTGCAGGAGGAGGAGGAGCAGGAGGAGGAGGTCAGGCTTGGTTTCATGAAAGCCTTGCATTTCACCAGCCGTTTTTTTTCAGACAGGCCTTTAGCTTGCTTCGGTGGCGAATCGGGGGTGCTTGGTGGACGGTTGGCGCAGGGCGTGAGCCGCTATTTGCCGCCAGTCGGTTACCGCTCTTTCAGGTTATTTGTTGTTATTCCGCGAGCATACTGATCAAGGTAGGGTTCCATAACACCGAACGTAAAGGAGGAGGAAGAGGAGTTGTATTGAGAGACAAGGGCCCAGAGGTGTTTCGCATTTGGTATGCCCCTCGGGCTCTCGGGGCCCGTCATCGGTCCTGAGGCCGTCGGCAAAAGTTTCCGCGGTTGAAGGACCAGTTCTTGAAGGACAGCGTCGTTCTTCCCCCCCCTCTCTCTATGTCTCTCTCTCTCTCTCTCTCTTTCTCTTTATTTGCCTCTCTCTCTCTCTCTCCTCCCCCACTTCTTCTTCCTTGTCGGCCTGTTCTAGCATGGTGGAGTCCCCTTCCCATCAGTGGGGAAGCTGGCACCTTAAAACATCGGGCCTTAATTCGGGCGAAGCCCAGGCGTCCTGGTTTCGTTTCCTCCAGTACCGTGCTGCCTCGAGCCAAGCAGTGGGTGGCGGAGACGGAATGACTTTCGAAGGCAGGTTTTTCAGGAGAGGAGGCAGGGGATCTGCATCATCAATGCGCGGGGCCAGTCAGGCCGACGTGGGTGATGCTCTCCACGAGCATCTCAGTTCACTGGCGCGGTTCTTTCCTGACAAGATTGGCCGAATGAAAGAAAATTTGGTAGAGGGGAGCATTTGATGCACAGGGCATGCTCGCAGTAACTCCAGCAATTGCTGTTGTTTGTTTCTCAGACATGTGCACTAGCAGATGGGCGTCGGATCTGATTCGCAACATCGCCCCACCGCGGAGTAGGATTATGAGGGGAAGGACGAGGAGCAGCAGCATGACAGGGCAAAAAGGTGTCCTCTTGCATTCCTTGATACCTACAGTGCCGAATATGAAAGAATCGCATGGAACAATACATGCTCTTGCAAGCGATTGAACGTATGCTAATCGGCGTAGCTGTCTTGATGGCTAGTTCCCTTAAAGTCCGCCAAGGTTTGCGGCGTTGCTGACACACCGTCGGCTGTCTGAATCTCAGTCTCTTCGCCGCCACCTCGCCCTCGCCGCCTTTCTCTGCTGTGTGGTCCTCTTCGCCGTCCTCGCCCTCTCCGGTTGGGTGTCTACCGTGCGTCGTCGCGTCCGTTCTGGGCAGCGCCTGCGCCGCGAGATGGCACGCGGCGGGCCGGGACAGGAGAGGAACGCGTGCTGGTTCAACTGGTATTCCGCCGACCCCGACTGCAACCCGTACGTGCTGATACACCGGAGGAGGGTCCGAGGGGCACGGGCCCCGGGCGGACGGCAGCGGGGGGGCAATGAGCGTGGGGGGCCCGAGGGCTGCAGGAAAGAGGCCCCACACGGCCGCCGCGGGCCCCATATAGGAGAGCACAGAAGGCGCGCACGCTTCTTCAGCCCTCGCTGATTGCCCCCAGGCGTGAGTTGGAATCCACTGCCCCTCTGTTATGAGGCCGTTGTATAGGAGAGGGAACAGAGGACAGAGTGTTTACACAGCTTTGAGGAATTAGCGAATTCAGCATGGGTTCGGCTTGCAGTGCCTCGAAGAAAGCGCGCGCACCCGAGTCGCAGACAAATGGCTATATGCGGACCCGGGACACTTGCTTCCCGTCGTCGTCCTCGCCCTTGCTCCGTTCCCCTTCCTTTCTTCCCTCCCCTGGATTGTGTCGAAAGCGTCCGCGGCTCGGGCGGGGGAGCGCCCCTTCCCACCTCCCTTATTATTCCTCGTTCCTCTTTGCCTCCCTGCTCCACCGTCCGTCGTCCTACCTCGCCCACCCTCCTTGTTCGAAAAAATGAAGTCCCTGGTGCCGCGTGCCCGCGTCAGCGGTAAATGATTTGTCGATATCCGAGCACAGCGGCGCAACCAAACAGAGGGGATTACCAATGCGAGAGTTCGGGGCGCACCCAAAATGCGGGCGGCACGGCCGCCGAGCACAGTCGCATCGCTAACATGTAAATTATAAGTGCCTGCGGCAAGGTCCGCCCCCTGCCGGATCAGTGGTCTATATGGCGGCGCGTGGAATTTTGACTGTTAAGAGGTCCGTGACATGTGACATCTCTCGTGTTTTCGGACTGCTGCGCGGCATTCTTTGTGGTCCTTCGAGGCCTTTTGGAGCGTCTTCGGGCCGTTGGGGGCCGCTTTGGCGCCGCGTCACACCGCGGCCGCCCTGGGCCACAGAAGCGTAGATTTGCGGTTCTCTCGGGGGCGCCCTGGGCCGGGGAAGTGTGCATTCGCATCCCCCCCAACTGGGTATGTCAACCTCGGTTCTGGGCTGGCAAAGTCGGGGCGCCCTCGAGGTGGCGAGCGTTTACCTTTTTCGAAATACACAGATCAAGGTGTGATCTGTGTACACACCTTGTGTCTTCAACTGTGTATTTTCGTGTGCGGGCCCGCTGTTTACACAGATCGTGGTGTGATCTGTGTACACAGATCTCGTTCCCATCTGTGTATTTGGAGTGTGTCCCTCGCGGGTGGTGTTGAATGGGCGGGAACTTTCGCGTTTCTCCTCCGGCTGGTCCAGGGGGAGCGTCGTGCGCGGTCGAAATGCACAGCTCGTATCTCCAATTGTGCATTTGTTGCGCGCCGTTCGCTGGAGTGGTCGATGGGCGGGAGTTTCCGCGGGTCTCCCGGCTGGTCCAGGAGGGGGCCGTGGTCTGGGCGCGCAAAGGCGCAGGGGGGTGTGGATGGTGGGTTGTGGGAAGGAAAGGGTTCGATAGGGGGGGTGGCCGAGGGGCCAAGGATGAACGGGACTGGACGAGAGCGGAGGAAATGAGCCCAGGAGGATCTGCATCATCGGTGTCAGCATCACGAGGGCGAGGGAGGTGGGGGGGGAGCAGAAGTTGGGGGCATGATGCGCATTAGGGCGTAGAGGATGGGAGGAGGGCGGGCATGTAGACGATGGGGGGACGAATCCGGCGCAGGAGGACGACGAGGAACGACGTGAATTGGCACATGGGGGGAGCAGTGTGGATGAATGGCATGATGAGGACCGGGGCAGTCGGAGGGGCAGGAGGAGGGTTGGGCCACAGCGAAGGGATATTTGGAAGAGGCGGGGGGTGGGGCATGAGTTCGAGGCGGGCGCGAGTTAACGATTAGCTGAACAGTGTTTTGCGTGTCCGTGCACACCCAGAACACAGTGAGTGGTTGCAGAACTTCATGATATGGGTAATCGTGCGCTCCTTGCTTCCAAGCCAAAGGCTCGAGTCCGCGACGCCCCTTGGCGTCGCGATGATGCCGCCCCGATTTGCCAGACCGCATATGCACAGATACGCAGAATATGTGTCGCAACGTTTGTTTCATGACCCTCTCTATACTAACAGACCCACGTTGGAATCCAAGGCGTGAGCGAGCACCCGAAGGGTTCCGAGGTGGACCGCCCGAGCGCGGGGTCGGCGCCCACCTCGCCGCGCTGGGCCCGAGCCTTGGGGGGGGGGGCTGGAGGAGCTCCGGGGGGTCGGGGGGCAGGAGGAGGAGGTCTGGAGCCGCCTGGGGGGTCGGAGGTGGCCCGGCACCGGTTCCGGCCCGCAGGGACGGCGGGCAGGTTCCTGGCTTCGGGAAGCTTACTTTGCTCTCTCTCGGCCTCTGGCGGCCGGGGATGGACCCCTGGAGGGGTCGTCCGGGGACCGGGTGTGAGCGGACTTGGCTTCATCGCCCTTTCCCGACCGTTTCATTGGGCCCCCCCCAGTTCAGGTTCCTTGGCCTCCTCCAAAGGGGATGGTAATTTCTTCTCCCTCGGCAATCGACGCCAGGACCTCTCCAGGGGTGCGATTTGCCCAGGACTGCGAGTGAACTCTCCGGCCGTGGTGACGAGAAGCCGTCCAGGAGCTAAATCAATAATGATAATTTCGCTACCGAAGAACCCCACATACTTAATTTAAATCTTATGTGTTTGTTTTATATATATATATGCACAATCCTGCGTTCTGAGCCCTCGTCGCGAATGTTCCCTGCTAGGCTTTGCGCCAGTGTCGTGGATAGCGGCCGAGCTGGGAGACCACCCCCTGCGCACCCCCTGTGGTGTCGAGAAAGTGCCACGCCTGCTAGGCTTTGCGCCAGTGTCGTGGATAGCGGCCGAGCTGAGAGACCACCCCCTGCGCACCCCCTGTGGTGTCGAGAAAGTGCCACGCCTGCTAGGCTTTGCGCCAGTGTCGTGGATAGCGGCCGAGCTGAGAGACCACCCCCTGCGCACCCCCTGTGGTGTCGAGAAAGTGCCACGCCTGCTAGGCTTTGCGCCAGTGTCGTGGATAGCGGCCGAGCTGAGAGACCACCCCCTGCGCACCCCCTGTGGTGTCGAGAAGTGCCACGCCTGCTAGGCTTTGCGACAGTGTCGTGGATAGCGACCGAGCTGAGAGACCACCCCCTGCGCATGTGGTGTCGAGAAAGTGCCACGCCTGCTAGGCTTTGCGCCAGTGTCGTGGATAGCGGCCGAGCTGAGAGACCACCCCCTGCGCACCCCCTGTCCCACCGCCAATAGTGCGAGTGCCACGCCTGCTAGGCTTTGCGCCAGTGTCGTGGATAGCGGCCGAGCTGAGAGACCACCCCCTGCGCACCCCCTGTGGTGTCGAGAAAGTGCCACGCCTGCTAGGCTTTGCGCCAGTGTCGTGGATAGCGGCCGAGCTGAGAGACCACCCCCTGCGCACCCCCTGTGGTGTCGAGAAAGTGCCACGCCTGCTAGGCTTTGCGCCAGTGTCGTGGATAGCGGCCGAGCTGAGAGACCACCCCCTGCGCACCCCCTGTGGTGTCGAGAAAGTGCCACGCCTGCTAGGCTTTGCGCCAGTGTCGTGGATAGCGGCCGAGCTGAGAGACCACCCCCTCCGCACCCCCTGTGGTGTCGAGAAAGTGCCACGCCTGCTTCGGCTTTGCGCAGTGTCGTGGATAGCGGCCGAGCTGAGAGACCACCCCCTGCCCACCCCCTTGTGGTGTCGAGAAAGTGCCACGCCTGCTGGCCTTTTGCGCCAGTGTCGTGGATAGGGGCCGCGGTGAGAGACCACCCCCTGCGCACCCCCTGTGGTGTCGAGAAAGTGCCACGCCTGCTAGGCTTTGCGCCAGTCGTGGATAGCGGCCGAGCTGAGAGACCACCCCCTGCGCACCCCCTGTGGTGTCGAGAAAGTGCCACGCCTGCTAGCCTTTTGCGCCAGTGTCGTGGATAGCGGCCGAGCTGAGAGACCACCCCCTGCGCACCCCCTGTGGTGTCGAGAAAGTGCCACGCCTGCTGTTTGCGCCAGTGTCGTGGATGGCGGCGAGCTGAGAGACCCACCCCCTGCGCACCCCCTGTGGTGTCGAGAAAGTGCCACGCCTGCTGCGACAGTGTCGTGGGTTGCGCACCACCTTTGGTGTCGAGAAAGTCGTGGATAGCGGCCGAGCTGAGAGACCACCCCCTGCGCACCCCCTGTGGTGTCGAGAAAGTGCCACGCCTGCTACCGCCAGTGCTTTGCGCCCCCGACGACCCCCTTGCGCACCCCCTGTGGTGTCGAGAAAGTGCCACGCCTGCTAGCTTTGCGCCAGTGTCGTGGATAGCGGCCGAGCTGAGAGACCACCCCCTGCGCACCCCCTGTGGTGTCGAGAAAGTGCCACGCCTGCTAGGCTTTGCGCCAGTGTCGTGGATAGCGGCCGAGCTGAGAGACCACCCCCTGCGCACCCCCTGTGGTGTCGAGAAAGTGCCACGCCTGCTAGGCTTTGCGCCAGTGTCGTGGATAGCGGCCGAGCTGAGAGACCACCCCCTGCGCACCCCCTGTGGTGTCGAGAAAGTGCCACGCCTGCTAGGCTTTGCGCCAGTGTCGTGGATAGCGGCCGAACTGAGAGACCACCCCCTGCGCACCCCCTGTGGTGTCGAGAAAGTGCCACGCCTGCTAGGCTTTGCGCCAGTGTCGTGGATAGCGGCCGAGCTGAGAGACCACCCCCTGCGCACCCCCTGTGGTGTCGAGAAAGTGCCACGCCTGCTAGGCTTTGCGCCAGTGTCGTGGATAGCGGCCGAGCTGAGAAACCACCCCCTCCGCACCCCCTGTGGTGTCGAGAAAGTGCCACGCCTGCTAGGCTTTGCGCCAGTGTCGTGGATAGCGGCCGAGCTGAAGACCACCCCCTGCCCACCCCCTGTGGTGTCGAGAAAGTGCACGCCTGCTAGCCTTTGCGCCAGTGTCGTGGATAGGGGCCGCGGTGAGAGACCACCCCCTGCGCACCCCCTGTGGTGTCGAGGAAGTGCCACGCTTGCTGGGCTTTGCGCCAGTGTCGTGGATAGCGGCCGAGCTGAGAGACC